AAAAAAAAAAAAGAAAAAAGAAAAAGCTACAAAGTCAATGTTCACACTGAGATTGGTATTTAAGCAATTCAATTCACTAAGAGCAACAAGTGAATAGCACAAGCAGCTAGTCTTCTATTTTACTAAGATTTATTTTTACTAAATTCATCATTAATCTCCAAGTAAAAAGATAACTCCTTTCAGTTAGTTTTACATTCTTCAGGAATAACCAAAAATAACATTAAAAGATACCTACCCACATTTTAACAGTAAAAATAAAGTGCCAGTCAGTTAATGGTCTTTCCCGTAGTCTCTTTAGCTAACTGACCACTAGGTTCCAATACTACTTTGGAATGACAACAAACTAAACCACTAGGTATTTTAGTCATTGTTTCTTTAGTTTACAAAGAGTATATCATTACTATTTTTGTTACTGGCACTCATTATTATTGCGGATACGAACAGCCTTTTATATTTTATAATAAAATAGGAAACTAACTATATGCATAGATTAACAAATCCTCATTTGCTAGGATTTCACTGATGTATGACCTCTTTAACGATTCTTTCCCCAAGTAAATTAATAGCCCTTTTTTCACTATACAGAATTTGCCCCAAAATGAGAGCTTAATTACAGGAGAAACGCCTTTATTATGCTTATATTTTTCTCTCTCCTCTTCCTTTTTATCCTCTCCTCCTATTTCAGTTTCATAGAAATACTTTTCAAAAGCCAGTATCTTTGATTTCAGCTCAAAGTTCAACATCGGGAGTAGAAGCCTCCTAAACTATACGACAACAAAGTGCCCATGCATGTAAGAATGAAAAAGTTGAGAAACATTTTAACTGTGTTAATAGGAAAACCCCAGAATACTCACTTGTTGCAGAACCAAGAAGATTTTTTGAGGATTTATCCTCCCCAGTATTATAATCCAGTGGATAATCTGTTTAAAGAGAAAATGAAAGTAATTATGCTGAGGACTAAAGACCAATAATATTATGTTTAAAAGCTCAAATTATGTCCTGTCAAAGTCAGTTGATATTTAAAACATTTTATAATAAATATAAATTATACATCTAAAACATGTTCACAAAAAGAAAATGAGATTCAAAAGCCATTTAACAAACAGATGTAAAAAAAAAAAAAAAGGAAAATAATTGTAATGCTTACCAAAACAATAACCACATTTACTAGACTTTTATTCAAGTTTTTAATATACTTTACCAACCCTTAGTCAATGTCTTTATTTTACTTACAGGAAAACAAGGAAAAATTTAGGTTGTTCAAACTATGCTTTAAGACATCTTAAAATATGGACTCAATAAAGCAGAAATGGAGGGTGTTACAAACTTTCCTCTACACCTTCAGGTTCACAGGAGTCTCTCAAAGGCATAAGCACTAATGTGCTTGTTCTTAGGCTCAGGGCAAAGTAAAGAAATTAATGCTCATTTCTAGTATTTCAGTTACCTTATAAGTTTAACAGGTTTTTGGGCAGTCTGGCATAGGAATATAATCATAATTTACAGCAATGATGTTATGGAAGGGAGTTCCAGTTACAAATAACTGACTGATAAACTTGTAACACAATACAACTTACAAAGCAATCGCATTAGAAAATAGCTTTAAGGGGGGCCAGCCTGTGGCTCACTCGGTAGAGTGTGGTGCTGATAACACCAAGGCCACGGGTTCGGATCCCATATAGGGATGGCCGGTTCGCTCACTGGCTGAGCGTGGTGCTGACAACACCAAGTCGAGGGTTAAGATCCCCTTACCGGTCATCTTTTAAAAAAAAAAAAAAAAAGAAAATAGCTTTAAGGGGGGCCAGCCTGTGGCTCACTCGGTAGAGTGTGGTGCTGCTAACACCAAGGCCACGGGTGCGGATCCCATATAGGGATGGCCGGTTCGCTCACTGGCTGAGCGTGGTGCTGACAACACCAAGTCGAGGGTTAAGATCCCCTTACCGGTCATCTTTTAAAAAAAAAAAAAAAAAAAAGAAAATAGCTTTAAGGGACACAAAGAATGAGTACATTTTGTAATGATGACTATATTAGCTATCCTGATTTGATCATCACATATTGTACACAAATACCAACAGTCAATTCTGTACCCCACAAATAAGTATAATCAATTATGTATAGTTTTAAGAAAAAAATTGGTTATTAGGGTTAAAAACAACAAAACAAAGTCTAAAGACAACAGTCATATGTATTTAAGTAATCTATATTCACCCATTACTATTAGATTTTAAAAAGCAAAAATTGCAAATAATAGTCATCTATTTAAAGTTACTTACCATAGTCCTCATCAAATAGTTCTTGACGTTCTAACTGATACTGCGAATCAGCAATTTCTTCATACTCTTCCACCATGCTAGTGCCAAATACCCTATTAACAACAATTTCATTGAAGACTTTCAAAACAAAAGAGTTGTTAAGACTCAACTCTTCACAATAAATGACAAACATCAACTGTGGTCAAGTTTGAACTCCTTAATAATGGTAGTTCCTTACATTTTAGCCATCTACTTTTTCCACTAATATTTAAAATAATCTATTTGAGACATTTGGAAATATTATGATCAAGATTTTATATCAGTCTAAAATGTTTCCCTATATTATCATCATAGCAAAACAGCAACCCAGTTAAACCAAACACATAAATTGAAGTTTATTTTTTAAGAGGATATTTTAACATTTTTCCAAAATGCATGCAAGAGAAAGAAAGGTTTAACAGTGTATATATTTCTATGGTATTAATTTCACATAAGAGAAAACTATTTCTTCACTTTAAATATATTGGGATTGATTTGTATATCATGTTGTTGTTTTTTTTAAAAAAAGCACTGTAAATGTATTTTGTTCTGTATTACCTTATAAGGCTCAATGGACAAAAGTGCTCTGATCCAAAATGTGACACCAACTCCACCTAAAGAATAAAAATACATGAAATGGGAAGCCAGCAGAATGTATGTGAGATTATCTAACAAGTATCTAACAATATTTCAAAAAGCTCATGGAAAGATTTATATTATCATTCAATTCCATTTTCCACAAACTTTTTGAAGTAACCTCATATACTCAGTTTTCTATTATAACATTCTAAAAGTAAAGTCCTCATATCCCCCAAAATTAATACTTGTAAAGTTTTTGTAATGCATCAACATGCCCTGTTATTCAATATTGCAAAAGAGAAGGTTGCTAACCTTTATGTACTTGATGAACATCTGAAGCAAGAGAAAGGAAAAGAAAAAGAAATCAGTTCCAAAGTCTGGATAACATGCCATAAGCAATTTTAAATATTTGTAAATTATATTGTATAATAAAAGGATAGAAAGCAATGTACTGTGATGGATAACATTGTAGTACTCTTATTTGCAGAAATCAAAGCAATAATTTAAATTTTTACCATCACCGCCAGAGAGCACAATCTAAATTACTGTAAAGAAATGAACTAACTTTATGATTATAAAGTTAAATAACCTAAAATTCATTGCTGCTATTTTATATCTGTTAGATATAAGAGCATTCTAAAATCAATTAATAAACAGTATCTAGAAATGACCTGTCTTACATGACTTTAAATATTATAGATATGTATCATTATATATCTACATATGAATTTACATATTTATATATGTGGATATATATATATATCTATGTATGTAAATACTAATGAGATTACCTAGTATATTATAAAATGATATTTATACTTGTACAATATATACAAGATGTTTCAGGGAAAGTATAAATTTTTGGTATGCTATGTTATTTCAAGTATAATTACAGAAGTGGAAAATATATATCAATTTACTTTTAAATAGTAAGCTATTATAATGCAGTTTGTAGATCTGGATTTAGTTCTTTTAGAATAAGGAAAACTTATATAACATTTGTCACTGTAAAATGCAAATCAGAAGTAAATGTTTTTTGCTTTTAGACTCAATTCTACCAAAGAGTTTTTTTATAAAACTAATCATCAGAATACTCTACAGTCTCCCACCTTAAAAGGGACAAGGTAGGGAGGTTTACATGGCATTTTTTTATGCCACCAATAAAATACTCTTCCATTATTAACAAAGTAGATGGTATAAAAAATGATTCTCAGAACTATTTTATAACACGTGAGTTGTCTTACTTGTGAAATTAAATACAATTTTATCACCTGGCAAGTGATTTTTAATATTTCTTTTCTTCCTCACAGTGTAGAAAATATGCTATAAAGGAGGTCATTAAATAATTGTTTCAGTATTCATTTTGAAAAGAATTGAATATGTTCCTTCATTTTTCTAAATTCTGTTGAATCATTAACTGAGAGTAACAACTGCATTTTCAAAATAGAATTTAGCATTTTTATACTGAGATTTAGGAATACTACAAGTTTATCCATTTACAGAAGTCAATTTAATACATGCTTTAAAAAGAGACAGTAAAATCTCAGAAGACAAAACCAGGTAGCTATAAGTTCTTACATTTAAAAAAGAAAGGATAGAAATTAGGATTGCTGCCATTCCAGAAAATCACATTATTAACACGATGATATATTAAGGCATGGCTATTATTTTAAAGAAAAAAGGGACAGGAAGGAGATCAGTAGGAATTTATTTTGTCTAAACCCATTCAGAAGTGATAATTCTACTTGATTAGTTGGTAGAGAAAGCAACAGAATACTGAATATAAGTGTTCAAAAGTTTACTTTATTTGAAACTGGACATAGAACATGTCACTTGAATACATAAAAGAAAAGGCAAAAGCCATAATAATGCCAAATAATTGGATATTAAAACTGAAATGATTTAAGAATCAGATTCTAATAAGAAATCAGATAAGGCCTGCTTTAAAGACTTTGGTGATGTGACTAGCAACAGGTTGGACTTCAGGAGAAAAATACTATGAAGATGACATTTTACATAAAGACTCAAAAGAAAAATTAAGAGTTAAATTTTGGAATTTTATTAGAGCCACAGACAACAAAAAACTGGCCTAGGTTTCCAGTGATACAAAATGGAGCGCAATAACATTTGTCTCATAAAATAACATATCCAAGTACAAACTATTTTGTTAAATGGTATGTTGCAGTCAATTTCCTTTTAATATCTCTGATTTCTAAATGGGTAGGGTGTATAAAGTGTGAATAACACGTATGTTTCGGTTATAGCACATAGTGCTGTATGTGTAAATATTACCTTTACATATTTTGCATACATCTGTTCATCTAAAGGGAAACTCTGGACATTCCGCTCATCTCTACCATGGAAAGTACCCAGCTTAATCCATTTATTTGTGGGGTATCTAGAAAATATAAAATATAGATATTCTTTTTTAGGAATTATAAACCACATATTGAGAGGTCCCATCACATTTTCAAAATATATTTTGTATATTTTTTCCCTCTCCAGGTGAACACACTGACATAAAATAGTTTAAATATAACTGGTCCCTGAGTTAAGTAAATACATTTTTTCCAGTTGATCTAACAGGACCCTCTTTACTGGGAAAGAATACCTTAACAAATCACACCATTAGACCAGGACCATTTCTTGGGGTTTGGGAGGGCTTCGTAGAGATTTTTAAACAGATAATAACCAAGAGATTGTCTTGGAAAAAGGTGGTATGACTCTTCACAAACTGACAAGTTGTGTGGTAATGTAAAGTATAAATACAAGTACTAGTGGAAAGAGAATCAGAAAAAAAAAAAAAACTTCTACTGTCATATATGAATTTGACATATCTTACACATCTGTTACCCTTTAAAAAGAAACCTATATTCATTCCTGGGGCTTCCAGTCAATATGGCAGAAGAGACGGTCCCCAGCGTCACCCTCTCCCACAATCAACCAATTTACAACTATGAAAAAGCAACAACAGCCAAGGTGGGGCTGCTAGAGCTCAGGGGAAGAGGAGGAGAGCCCTACACAGTGCATGAAGGCGGGAGAAGCCCCGATGAGAAAAAGGAAGAACCGCTCTGACCGTCTGGAGCCTCAGCTGCTTCAAGGCTGGAGCTGGTGAGCACACGGAGCAGGTACTGGCCGCAGCTGTGCCCTTCAGATGAAATTGCTTGGAGGCTACAGGGGAGAAGATGGCCTTGGTGGCCCCCAGGCCAGCAAGACTACTAATAGGGCTCCGAGAAGCCACAACAACTGAAAAAAAGGAGCCATTCAGAGGCCAGAGAGTCATTGCAAGGGACTGGCGCATGGCCTGTCCCATGGGAAGTGTTTGAAGCACAGGTGGTAGGGGAGACGGGCCCACTGGGAGAACACTGGGGCACAGAAAGGACAGTTGTCCCCCACTCAGCGTAGGACCACTCAGTGCAGACTGGTCAGGAATACAGAACTGCAGGGGGTGCAGTTTCATGTAAAGACTCAGGCCCAGACCAGAGTTCGTATACAACTCGGGTGTACTGGATCTCACAAGATCTGGAAGTACCTATAAAGTCAACCATTAAAAAATGAGCTGCACAAAAAGACTTCCCCAGGGAAACAGCAGCAAAGCAACAATTTAGCTCAACCACAGAGCTCAAGTACTGGTCCCCACAGGAAGTTCTCCCATTTTAGAAGTAAGCAAAGGACAACAAATTAGTTCCAATGCAGAGTTTAAGTGGTAGGAACAGCAAATAATCCAACACAGAACTGAAAGAAAAAACCAAAATACCCACAGACCAGAGACAAAGTTTGATATTATCTAGTAAAGGTCTCTCATTACCAAAGAACACCAATAAAACCTAGAAGGACCGGAAGTCCCCTGGGCTACCAAGTGAGGGAGGTGGGAGGGCTAGGGGCCTCTGCCATGCCCCCCTGACACCCACAACCAGCCCAGCAATGACCACTGAGCCGCCACAGGAGCACCCCAGGCTCTCCCAAGCCAGGGCAGTGAGGGGCCGAGGGCCTCAGCCACAACCCCAACACCCACAACTAGCCCAGTGATGACCATGGAGCTGCCACAGGAAGCGCTCCAGGTTCTCCTGAGCTGGGGCAGTGTGGGGGCAAGGGCTTCAGCCATACCCCTCTGACATCTGCATCCAGTCCAGCAATGATCAAGCCACTGCTGGAAGCCCCCTGGTCTTCCACAAAGGAATGAGGGGATTGCAACAGGTCTCAACCCCACCCTTCCTCCTTCCTGCCTCTCCCACCCTATTTCCTTTCCCTTTCCCCTCTCCCCCCGCAATTCCTTTGCAACATCAAAAATGTAAAAAAATTTAAAAAGTAATATTAATAAACTTAAAAAAAAAGAAATCTAAGTCTAAAACTATTATTTTTGTTTATTGCAGCATTTTAAAAAATCCTCAAAACAATGAGCTCTCCTCACATTTAAAAAATATATACACTTTATTTGTCAGAGCTGGCTATGTCCATCTGACATACAAGAAAAGTGCTGCTTAGAGAAAAGAAAGTGATCTGAGCAAGGTTAATGGCAGAATAGTAGAAGGAATTCTCAAGAGATCTTAAGAACTGTTTGCAAAAATTGTATACATGCACTGCTGAGTGTGAGGTACAGGAAGAAACACCATAGAAAACCCATAATGATCAATAATAAAAGAACACTTAAATAAATGACAGCATCTCACATGGCATAACATGAGCACTCAAAGAGTATTTATGGAATGATTAAACACCTTCATTGGGGGAAAATATTAAGCATACATTAAAAATAGCATGTTTCAAAGACAAAAGGATATTTTCTGGATATAAGAAGTAAAAAGTAAATTTACATCTAACAGAATCAGTAAACAGATTCACAGGCATAACTGGAAGGGATATATTAAAATGCTAATAATGGTTATCTTTGGTTAAAAGGATTACAGTTCTTTTCCAAATTCCTTACAATATACGTTTATTTCTTTTATAATCATACATGTACAAAAAAAGGTTTTAGAATATACTTTAACAAAAAATATATATATAATGAAGCACTTGCACATGTATGTTTTTAGTAGCTTTTTAAAGAATATTTGGAAGCAATAGAGCATAATGATTAAATGAGAGAACTATGATGTCACACAGCTGTAGGTTTGAATCTTGGTTCTCCAACTCACAAGTCATGTTACCTGGGCAAGCTACTTAACCTCCCCTTGTCTGTTTCCTCATTTTATAAGGGAATAACATCATATGGTGGTTGTTATGTTTTAAACAATAAATGAACTACTGAAAGTAAAGTGATTAACAAGAGCCTACAATACAGTAGTAGTATTACAAACGATATTAAAATAAAAAATAAAATGATTAAAGTCAAGAGTGAACCTTTTTAAAATTTTTATTTCAGAGATCCAACATAGACCCTCAGAAACCAGCTTTAGAACTAACCTGTCACTGAACTGTGGTTACTAGGAGTGAATGGAGGGAGGGGGAGATTAATAAGAAATTAATGAGAAATAAATTAATGGACACAAAGAATGATACTTATTGTTAATGATGAATAAGCTAACTATCCTGATTTGACCATCACACACTGTACATAACTACTGATAGTAAACTTTGTATCCCACAAATTTGTATTATCAATCATACTTCAATTAAAAAATTTTTTTTTTTTTTACCTGTCACTGATAGAAACCAGAAAGTCTTTCGGAGTAGAAGAAAATAACTCATAATTTGCAATATCAAACTGTTTTACTTGAATTGGTTCACAAAGTTCAATAACAAACCTTCAAAAAGAACACAAGACAATTATTTAGGTACACCAACCAAAATAACTGTTTGTGTTAAACATGACATTAACAGTTCACATAATTAGACTTCCATTAACAGTTATTCATTAAAATTTTTGGAGCATAAAAATCCAATCTGTCACTGACTACAAAGGCTTTCACACATAAAAACTCAAAAATAACACTTTGATTATGATCTCAGATAATTATTTCCTCAAATCCAATTTACAGATTAGATGATATAAGAAAAAATTAAGTTTTTAAAATCATCCCTTAATACCCTTAAATAGTTCGGTTCATTTTCAAGTTGAACCTAAACGTGTACATTTCCAAGAGGAGTAAAGGCTAAGAGTAGAAAAGAATAACCATTTATTCTGAAGTTTAAAAAGTATCTCCTAAATTTAAAAAAAGTTATATGTATTATTCACCTATTTATTCATTCATTCATTTATTCCAGTAAATCAACATGATTGTAGTGATTTTCCTCAGTTCTTTATTAAGCAGCTGCTTTTGAGCAATGAAATCAAGTAATCTAATAAAAATGTTAGCATATCACACATTATTTTTCCCCATTAATCTGTTCCTTTTCCTACATTCTTAATTAATGGGAGAATCATAGATCCAAGTGGTAAAGCCAAGATCCTGGAAGATTTCCTAAATACCTCTCTCTTCTTCACATTCAATTACTAACCACCAGCTGTCAATTTTATGTGCAATAAATGTCTCTGCATCCAAACTGCCAGTGCCTTAGTTAAAGCCCTCATTTCTTACCTGGGCTATGAGAACAGGTTCCTAACTGCTTCCAACAGCATTCTGCTGTGGGCCATACTTTGAGGAAAAGCCTTTTTAGAATGCCAGTGAGATCATGTCACTTACTTACTTAAAACAAATGCTACTCTCAAGGTCTTTAAGATAAAGTTCAAGTATTTTTAAGCTGGGTATACATAGCATCAGATGGCCTTCTTATAACTAAAGTAATGCTCCAGCCTCCTCTTCAGCCACTACTCTAACTGTACCTTTATTCTTTTCATGCCTAAAAAAACTTTTTCAAGTTGCTTCACTTATACTCACTCAGAAGAAATATGCTCTTCTTAGCACTGTCCCTTTATTCTTACAGTTCCTGAATACCTTTGCCTCCCTCATCTGCCACTTCCTATGAATCCTTCAAGATTTAGCTCAGGAATTACCTTTTCTAGGAAGCCTCTCTTATCCTTTCTTGCAGTTATACATCATCAATCTGTCTGTAATACCCTTTCAACAGTACTTTTTATACCATTTCATAATTGTTTAACCAGGTATGCATTTGTTTGATTTTTGTGATCTCCTTAAAAGAAAAGGCATTTTGTCTTCAATTTTGTATAGTACACGTTGAGTATCCCCTATCTGAAATACTTGGGTCCAGAAGTGTTTCTGATTTCAAATTTTTTTTTTGGACTTTGGAATATTTGCAGAATACATACTGGTTGAGTATCCCTAATCTGAAAATCTGAAATCTGAAATGCTCTAATGATCATTTCCTTTGAGCATCATGTCTGTGCTCAAAAGTTTTGGATTTTAGAGCATTTCAGATTTTGTACTAGCACTAATCAATCATAAATGTTTATTAAATGATTACATGAATAAACCAATCTAACCCTAAATTAAAAGCTTAACATAATACGTACATATATAAAATGTACCTTTTAAAGTTTTATATTACTTACCAAATTTTAGTGCTGCAAGGATTCAACATATAAAGATCCATGTTTTCTATAAGAATGGCAGATGTGCTCTATTTTAAAAACGGGGAAAGGAATAAACTACTTAGAGAAAAATAATTTTAAAAATATTTATTTCAAAACTCTAAAGTTTTCTAGGACTTCTCTATTTTTAGAGCTTAAAATACACTTAAAACTCCAAAACATTCATTTGGGAAAAAGCATAAAAGTGGCTAAAATTTACCAGTTATAGCTACAGCATTAAATTAGCCTTATAATAACACATTTAAAATTCAATGTGTTACCATAAAGAAAAGAATAATTTTCTATTAGCTATTTCTTTTTGAAAATTTCATACAGGTTTTAAAAAACATGGTCTAATATCTACCAATATAACTAAGAATTCATACAAGAAAATGTCTTGAAAGGCATAATCTTGCATTTATTAATGAAAAAGGAAGAGTTCAAATTAAAATATAGTTCGCAGAAAACAAAGGCCTATATTTAGTAAAGTCACTAGTTTCCTATATTATTAAAAATTTTATACTTAAGTACCTTGGCTTCTGGATTAGCAGCCAAAATTTTGGCACCACATTCTACTGAGGCATAATTATTTCGATTTTTCTGGACCTTTTTGGTGGCATGTGGACCTCCATTAGAAGATGGATGCATTGACTGACCTACAGACAAACCTTATTATAAACATACATATTTGATGATCATGTTTGAAAATACCCCCAGCAACAACACATGATCTCAAAAGCAACATGCTGCCTTCTAGAAAAGAGTAGGTTTTAATGCTTAAGAGATTTTAAAAAGCCATAAGAATTCAAAATGTTTCCCCTCAATAGCTTTAAAATACCCCTAATAAACAAATTAACTACAAAAATCCACATTACTTATGTCTAAGTAATACCACTCATAGAATGAAAATTGTCCATAAGAATCAAAGCTTTTTGTACATATATTTTATTCTATTAAGGATGTTATCTATCTGTAACCCTAACATTAGAAGTCTTAACTCTGAGACTTATTCTACAAAAGCAAAAAAATAATAATAATTTTAGTCCAACTCTATTTACAACTTAAATCTTTCTGACTCAGAACATTCCATACCTCAATTTTCCACTTATAAATTGAGATGAAAATTACTGCTCTGTCTTCTTTACCTTGTTTTATCCTCACTTAACAATTTATAAGAATAAATTATATTTAAGATTAAAACTGTATATAATTATACACAGATAAATGACACATGGGTAATCAACAGAAACCTGGTAAATTTCACCTTTAAAAAGTTTTCAAAAGTTAAGTTTTATTTTATTTTACCAACTAAAAAGAGAAAAGCATATTTAAGCTACCTGCTTAAATTAAAAAAAAAAAAAAAAAAGTTTAAAAAGAATCCCAGTGCTTCCTTACTTTTTTCTTTTTCTACTTCCATAACTTTCTTCTTCCATTCATCAAATGTTGGTATATCTTCTGGATCTTTGGGACTTGCTACAGAAGTAGGGTCAATTTCTCCTGGTTTTGTATAATCAGAACTCTGAAAGAAATGCCAGAAAGTAAATAGACTTCAAATTTCAAAGAATACAGATTTATAAATTATAAAATACAAATGTTTCTGCCAAATTAAAGTCCAATTTTTAATGAATGACAACATTTTGAAAAAACAAAAAAGGTAAGTAGAAAAGTTTTAGTTCACTTAAATTTCCCTTGAAAGAATTGAAACCTTCTATCTAAGCACCACAGCATGTATTCCTTCACATGCTAGTGATATGCTTGTATCCTAGCAACATAAGCGCATTATCCTAAGCAAATAATTACTCATACATAAATTGTACAAATTATTTTAGTGGAGTGCATCCACCTTAAAATCTAAGTTAAAATAATATATACATTTAAAAAATCTAATTTTAGATGTAGCATATTGTTTCCACAAAATCCTTAATAAGAAGAACCATGTACACAAAAATTTTAAGGTGGATTTAAGGGTTTACATGTGAAAAAAACGAAACTTTACATTTTAGAAGAAAATACAGAAAAAAACATCTTTATGGCTCAGGCTAATAAAAGGATTTTGCAAGATGCATAATGCATAAATCGTTTTTAAAAAGCTCATACATGTGGCTAGATTAAAATTAAAAAATTAAGTCAAAAGACCATATAATACATGAAAACAATAAGCCACAGACTAGGAGAATTATTTGCAACACATTCAGCCAGCAAGAGATTATTACCAACTAAAAAGAGTACCTACAAATCAATAATGGGAAGCAGGGGGAACAAGAATAAAAACAATAAATTCAGCAAAAAGACAATACAATCTCAGTAATAATCATGGAATGCAAGTGAAAACCAGAAATATCATACATATTATACCAATCTGATGGAGGTTAAAGAGTGACAGTCTGTGACCGAATGAGGCATGTCTGTTAAACCACAGGGAAATCTATCAGACTGCTAAAAGGAGTTTAAAATTTACCAATATTGGGCCGGCCCGGTGGCGCACTGCTATAGTGCACCGCTTGGGAAGCGCGGTGGCGCTCCCGCCGAGGGTTCGGATCCCACATACAGACCGGTTCCCGCTCACTGGCTGAGCGAGGCGCGGGAGCAACACCGAGGGCTGCGATCCCGTTGCCAGTCCCGGTCCGGTACGGGGGCGACACTGAGGGTTGCGATCCGTTGCCGGACACGGAAAAAGACCAAAAAAAAAAAAAAAAATTTACCAATATTAAGTAAAGATACATATAACCACTAAGTTTACTCTCATGTATAAATGTCAGTGAAAATGCACACATGTACTTAAGAAAACATGCATAAGAATGCTCATTTGTTGCATTGTTTTTAATATCAAAAAATAAAAACCTAAATATCCATTAATTGAAGAATGAATCAATTGCAGTAGAGTCACTATTAGAGAAGTGAAAATAATGAAGATCTTAAAAACTATGTTGAGTAAAATGCTACTTAAGACAAAAATGATGTCGTTCTATACCGTTTCAAAATATGCCAGATAATAGTAGGCACTGTTTATAGTTATTTGGAAAGCTCTTGAAAACAAAAACAAAACACCAAATTCAAGAGTGGTTATATCTGCAGAGGAGAAAAGGAATGTAAGGAATGTAAAAGGGGAAGGGCATAGGACCTGCAATTTTTTTTTTTCTTAAGCTGAATAATGTAAACACACATGTTCATTCCATTATTTAATCATTTCTGTATTTCTAAAACGATGCTTAACATATTAACAGTGTTTTAAGAAGTATACAAAGTCTATTTAGACAGTTAACTCTGCTAAATTGCACAAATCTTGTTTAGTATATATTTACTATATATTAGAGCATGTTTTTGAGCACTAATATGAAATACTCTTATCTTCTGGAACTATATATTCTTTTTTTCTTAAAAGGAAGTAGAACCATTCCCAAACCTCCTTTTAGGAAGACTTAGCAATTGGGCCCCCATACAACTTCCATCTTAGAGTGTTTTGCAGAACAATCTAATTTACTAAATGAAGTATGTGGCTATTATAGTTTGAACACATTGAAAAACAAACAAGAAACACACTGTTAAGTTATAAAAATTAACCTAGCTGAGATACTAAGGAGCAAACCCCAAATATAAAAATGGCAACAAAAAGTAAGAACATACAGGTACACATACCATTTGAGGCCCAAGCAAAGCAATCACTATTTACTCTTAGCAACAAATAAGAGAACTTAACAATACAATAATTTGTCTTTTTAAAACACTGTCTATAAGCATGGCTAATGGTGTCTGGCAGATCCTTGAAATAACATGGACAGCACAAAGCAAACTCTCCCACTTAAACTTAACAGGGCAGTTATCCTGAACTGGATACTACATAAAACTACTGAGTATTACTCATAATGTGCTCATTACCTCCAACAATTTTTCTGGGATACTAATTTATTTAGGAGATAATTAATACAGTTAATTAAAATTCCATCCTTTTGCCTATTAACACAGACTTACAAACAGTTTAAGTCTCTTAGGTAACAAAGAGTAATTTCAGTCTCCTAATAGTTAAGGAGAACAAGCAAATCTAGGACAAAGCTGGCTGCCATGCTTGAATTTTACATTTGGTAATGTATAAATATCAAAGGAGACATGTTTTAATGTTTGTCTAATTTTATTCATAGATGTAATATTTGACAATTAAACACATGTTTGATTTGCTTTCAATGAGAAAATCAGTTCCTTTAAGATGTTGGACTATGAAATGCTGAGCTCCTATTTTTAAACAAAGCAACACAGAAACAGCTAGTGCAGTGACAGTGAAAGTCTCCAGAATGAAGTTTAGTTAAAAGCACAGATTCACTAAAATATGTGAAGGAGAAAATGGAGAACAGAAGACCCCAAATTAAAAAGGAACAAATGTGGATGTGGTATTCAGCACTTTGAAATAGTCTTTGATCCCACTTGTTTTGTTTTTGTTAAGTTCGTGGAGTGACGTTCATCTCTTTTAGTTATTTCTTACCTGAGGGGAGCCTAAACTGCTGTTAAACACTTCTTCAGGAAATTTTATACTGGCCTCTACATGAAGTCAAAGCAGAACACAGAAGAAGAAAAGAAAGTAAAACAGCTCCACTGTGATAAGCTGTCTTTATTGTAAGAATCACACTCTAAAATATAAGTTGGTTTAATTGCATTTTTCACACATATAATGCAAGGTAACATGTCCCTTTAAGATAATTCTGGTTGAAGAGCCTATATTTTAATTTGCATTATTGAGTTAACTTACATTCTCAGGATACCTAAATTTAATAGTCATTCCTTCCTCCATATAGCTCTCAAAAAAAACTGCTTAAATAAGGACTTTATGTATCTGCATCAAACAGTTGATGGTGGCAGAAAACTATTTAATTATACATAACTGAAGAGAGTTCATCCTTAGAACAACTTTATATATAAACATTATACTAGAAAACAACTTTATATATAAATATTATACTAGAAATAGTACCATGAAGTAACCACTTGCTCTTAGGAAGCACAGTTCCAGTCAGTTCCAGACATGTCATTATTTACTTAGTGTAGTGGACTGAATTATGTCCTCCCAAAACTCATTGAAGCTTGAATTATATCCCCCACGTCTTATGTATTAGAAACTTAGCCCCCACTGTGACTGTTAAGAGGGTGGGAAATCCTATTATGGTAATTGAAAGGTGGAGCCTTGAAGAGGTGATTGGATTGTAGGACTCTGCAGTAGTGAATGGATTAAAAATGGTGGTGAGGGGAGTGGTTCTGAGAAGAGTCTGTCTCGCTCTCTCGCTCTCTCACTGTCTCTGCTTCCTCCATCTTGCAATGTGAGACCCCTGGGTCGCTGTCACCACCACCTGATGGACTTTGGACTTCCCAGCCTCAAAAACTGTAAGCAATAAATTTCATTTTCTTTATAAATCACGCAGTCTCGGGCATTTTGTTATAAACAACATAAACGAACTAATACACTTAGTCTCCCTGATTTTTAACAAATATGGTTAACGAATTATTACAAGATTAGCTAATGAAAATATGTTATAAAGTATAACAGATATATACCTACCTCATTTTTTAAATTATCTGAAGCATTCAATGCAGACTGTGGATCACCACCACCCTGTTCACTTGCTGAAACATTTGACTCAAATTCTGATTTTGTTATCTTTCCTTTGCCATGCGAAGTTGACACATTTTCTATATGCTGGCCAACAAGGCTATTTGAAACCAAGAGACATATTAAATAAACAAATTTTAGCTGGATAACAAGTTTTATACAATCTAAATTGTTGTAACTATTGAGTACAAAGTCAACAAAGAGATCAGCTTTCTCTTAATCATAAAGTGGAATTAAGCATGCACCAAAGTCCATCCAAGTGGCACTACTGTTGTTACAGAATCATTCCAAGGACAAACAACTGCTAATACTCACCTTTCAGGTGGACTGACAAAGGAAGGTTGTTCAATTGGAGCATTTGCATCAAGGGTCTCACCAACATCACAGTCAGTTTCAGATTGCTCAGTTTCACTTGACTTGGCTATAGGAATAGTACCAGACTTGTCTATGTCGCTTAAAAAAAAAAAAAACAATCTGGTATTTAATAGACTTAATGTAACATAAATTAATAATGCTTTACAGTTCTACAGAATGTTTTCAACAATTCGCTTGTTTTAAATTGTGTAAAGTCAACTGCTGACTCGATCTGTTAGTATCCTATGCTTCTGAATAACTACCTACCAAATTTGAAAACAATATTATACATTAATATTTGGTCTTACCAAAAATAAAATTCTTAAAATTATTTATTCTAAATGTATCTTCTCTAAAGTTTAATTTATGACTGTTAGTACATTAATTCTACCAGTATTAGAATTGTTGCCTATAGCATCAAAAATCATCTATTATATCAAGACATTTCACTAAAGTTTTAAGGCATTTTTAGAATTTCATTTTAAAAAGATATTCCTCACCTCCATTTCATTAAACAGTCATATTTAATATAACGGGAGAATGAGAGAATAGGATGCATGGTTCAGATAGATAGTATTTAGCCTTAAATTCTTTCTGAAATAAGTATTTAAATTTAAAATTTTTAAATACTATCATTATTGCTCAACATGTCTTCTGATCCCTTGTTCCTTACTGGAACAAGCTCCTAAATGGTAACTGTCACATCTTTGTGTACAACTCCATAAACACGTCCCTTACACTATTGAAGAGAGGTATTTAAAAGCGCCTTTGATAAAACGTACTAGTGATGATAATAATATTAACTGACACATTTACTCCTTCCATGTGCCAGATATTCTTCTACACACTTTATACTAACTCATTTGATAAGAAAATGCTTAATGTAGTATTAAGAGAAGGACATTTTGTTTTGTTCTATGGAGTGTTGCTGGAAGTAGCTAAGGAGTACACAACATATTTTCTAAATTAAAGATAACTTAAGCCTAAGTATTCCCAATATTTATCATCAGATTTGAAAAAGGTAGTTATTCACACAAAGATATACCTATGCATTGGCATGTAAGTTATACTTAATGAAAATGAATAACCTAACATTTGAGTTTTGGGTAATTATAGGAAAGATTATTCAAATAAACACTGTTTCCTAAGTAGAAACTCACTTTGCCTACACTGTGTAAAGATTTCACAGCAGGGATCTAATCAACTTCAGAGTTAGGCACCTAAGTAAGCAAACTCGTTATAAGATCACTACATTCAAAACACACACACAAATATAGGCATTATAACTTAGGTCTACTATATAAACTTGAGTATCAAGCTGCCTTATCCTATTAAGAAATTCTTGTATCATTAATAAGGCAGATTCTTTTTTATCTTTGTAATGACTTACTCAAGCTTTGAGACTGGAGTGATTTCTGAGGTAGTTGAGCTGGAAATATTTTCTCCGTTTTCACTGCCTACACCTACATTGGAAGAATCTTCATGTAAATCAACTGCAGGGAGTGTCTCAACCACAGGTGAACCTAACTTTTTTGATTCCGTATTCTGTTAAAAAAAAAAGTCAGGTATATTAAATGTTAAGATAAATAAATTATCTCTTTAGCTAAATAGGATTTTATAGAAAGCATTTCTGAAACACAATATAAAGAACAGTCACTAAAAAAGTACTTTCAAAAATCCCTTCTGCAATTTCTGGTAATGGGTATGCCCCCAATATGAATCTGGCCCCCACATCATGGGCAGGAGGGGGGACAATCAGCTTTATATCTCATGAATATTCAAAATAAATTAAAAAGATAAAAATAAAAATGATGCGTAACAGAAAAAAAAAATCCTTTCTTCCAATATTACCACTCTCTAAAGAATATATTTCATATTAAAATACAGGCTCTACACAAATTTACGGCATTTCATAAACTAGGACAAAGAGCTGGTCTGTTTCTCCATTCCTATTTCATATTTTGTATCAGGACCTACAAGTATTTCCCTCTTACTTTAATTAATGAATGCTAGTAGCAACGAAGAAATTCTACGTAAATATACAAAATAGTACAAGACATAGTTCTTGCCCTTGAGGAGTTTAGGAAATAAAGTGTATCAATAAACAATATAAGATGTGTACAAGTAAAATTAAAAAGCAATAAATGATTCTTGCTGTTCCTTCAGTCCTGAATGCCCTGGGCCATTCACCACTCCAAAACACAATCTGAAATATACATAACACCTACTCACATTTGAAAACCTCTATAGCATCTCCTCCCCCACAATCAACCCTAAACAGAATTAAGCCATTCCCCTTCCTCTATGCCTCCACCGTCCCTGTACAGACTTTTATCACAGCATCTATTAAAAAAACCCTCAATTGCCATTTATGTCCCCTCTCTTCTTCAAGTATATTATAAATGCCTTGAGTAAGGGCTATTTTCTTGATCTTCACATTCCCAGAGTCTAGCACAAAACCTAGCACTCAAAAGGCATTTAAATGCTCAGTAAATATCAAGTAAGATGTACTCATGTTCAGTTCAAGCAAAGAAAAACTATGGACTATTACAAACAAGAAGAGCAAGGCCTTGAAGAAAAAGAGGGCCAGTATGGGAGCAGAATGAAAACACAAGGCAACATAAAGCATGACCATTTGAGGAATTATTTACACTGAAAAATTCACAGAGGAATACAAATAGTAGTTTGCATTTTTATAGTGGAGGCCTTGAGAAAAGGACAATTATGTCATTATCAAATATTTTATTATCATTTCAACATGTATTTAAAATTATAAACCAATATTTTACATTCTTTTTTTAAGCTAAGTCTTCAAAATCCAATATGTATCTTATACTTACAGTAGGTATCAATTTGGACTAGCCAAATGTGGCTAGTGGCTATTGTACTGAACAGCACAGGTATATAAAATGCAGTAAGTCTTCCAAAGTATTTGAGCTAGAGTATATCATTGCAAAAACTCCAGAAAATAAGTAACGGCAGGGCTATTCAGGATAGTCATATAATTGAAAGGGCTACAAGTATCATTTTTCTCTTACTCCTAGGCACAAACCTTTGACAAATGTCTTCTGGAATCCAATAAAATGACACTCACTCTATTTCCTTAGAAAGCCCAGTAAGTTATAAAATGGCCCTGGCTGTATTTTAAAAGAGAGAGAGAGAGAGAGTTCTCCCTTATTCGGAGCTGAAATTTGTTTTATAAATTTGAAATATTTAGTTTTTTCTTAGTCCTTCTGTCTCCAGATCATATATCCCGTTTCTTCAGCCATTACTGATATTAAATGGTTTCTAGATGCCTCAGCATTATGGTCAGTTTAGAGTGTGTATATTCTAGTTTGCAATATGTTTCATAAAGTCTGATGCACAAATGAAAACAAGATTCAGAGGAAAAGAGAAAAAAGATTTTAATCTATTATCTGTTAATTCATATTCTACACTAAGTGAAACGTTGGTTTCAAAATACTCTGTATTCTACATACAAATACTACCTTTTGTTGTAAGTAAAGTAGGTTAGAAAAAAATTTCCTTACATCTGAAAATGTGAAGAGACAAGATACATAATAATAAGCCAAAATGGAATCTAAGAAATGAGAATTTATACCCAAACTTTTACTAAAGAGAGAATAGTCAAATTTATTATGAAATCTCAAATTTTACATGTTCTTAAAAGTAGTATTATTAGCAGGTGAACAGTCTTAAGTCCAGTTACATGGTACTTCAAAATGAAAAAAATAACAATACACAATATAGTGAACAAACAGAGGTTTTCTATCTTGTGAAGTAGTTTGAAGAGGCATATTAAACATCAAAGTAGTACAGCTTACTTGTACATCCACAATGTAGTCATCTTTTAATTTATTTTCTTCTGAAGGAATAGGTAAATTTGAACCCAATTTGCCCAATAATTCGGCACTGATAGGTCCCTCTCTTTCATCCTATATTGCAACAAAGAAAAAAAACTAAATGATAAAACTGTTTCACAGAACATTCCTAAAGCAATATGAAAGACTATCTCTTTCTATACTTTAAAACAAAAAAAACTGTCTTGTACAGATTTGACTTATCACTTTTGTTTAGATGCTTATTGTCTGTCTCCCTGCATCCTCCTTTTTGCTGCTATACTTAAAATGTACAATGCATGAATTCAAGAGCCTCAACTGATCTACTAATAAGCACTTTAGTCCTACAACCCAGAAATATGTGTATGGAACACAGTAAAACTTCAATAATATCTGATGAATGAATGTACGTACACCTCTTTGTCATCTCTTTTGACACTTGCTCACATTCAAGTTAGGATTTCAATACTTTTATGTCTTTAAATGTGCCTTCTAGAGTATAAATTTCATAAAAGCAAAGTTCATATTCATCTTTATTTATATGAGCTCATCTAGGGCATAACAGTTATCTAAATGTTTGCTGAAAGAATAAGTTTTCCTCATGTAAAGCTTTGCTTAAACTCACTTTGACAACATTTGTTTTTCAAATCTCATTAAGAGAGATTATACCTAAGTCTCATAGACTATAGGCAAAAGCATAAACTTATAATTTTTGAAGAGATATTTTGTAAGTCTTCAAAATTTTAAATGCTCCATCCTAGAAATATATCCTACATAACTCAAAAATTTAAATAATCCACTCTAAACATCATGGCAAAAAAAATAAAGACCCAAGCATGTATGTAAATGTTATCGTAAATGTTTGTTGATACACACACAATCGCACATGCTCATGTGCACACACACAGCTGGGAAACAATGCAATGTCCGTTAATAAAGAAATAAGCAATAAGTTATAATATATCTATATGATGGAATAAAAATACAGCCATTCAGAATAATATATCAATATGGAAAGGTGATAAATGAGATGTCACCAGGAGAGAGGGGAAAGCCAATTTGTAGAATATTTAATGAAAATAAAAATATTAATTTGTATACATATATAAATGTACATCTATAACCACAGAAAAAGTTCTACACATTTTAGCAAGAAACAGTAAACTACTGTTACTCTGGGGAGGAGAATGGGATATAAATATGAATATTTTATTGTAAGTATAAGTTAATTCTGTCATTTGAAATAAGTACACTGTAGTTGGAGGCAAAAGCCAAATCTAGTCAATACTCACCTTTCATCACTTAAAATGGTAATAAATGATTTAGCAACCATCTTGTCTATTCACTGCACCTAATTGTATAAAACAAACTACAAAGCCACTGACTACAGATTCTCCCTGTAATACTACTAATTTCTAATAGTTTTTAAGTTATATGATTGGAAAACCCTTTAAGTATTTAGAGCATTAAAAAGGGAGAACTAATTTTTAGTTATCTGAACACACACTATTTTTCTCCTTCCTAAGGATGTAGGACTAAGTAGAACTTAGTCCTTAGTAGGACTAAGGATTTTACAAAATTCCAAAAACAAGCAACAAGAATAAATATATAACTATCCCTGAGCTATCTTACTTTCAGAATTACCTGAGTAACTCCTCAGATTACAGCAAGAAAAAATACAAATTTCCACAAAAAATTATGGCAAAATATTCTTGAAATTACTTTTATTCTGAATGTTTTGAAATAGTCTTAGAAAGCTGACACACAAATTATAATGTCAATTTTATTTAAAGTACCTTTTTCTGGAATTGTACATCTTCATTTTCTAGTGCACAATTGTCATCTTGAGAGTAATATGATGACACTGAAGCTGAAGAACTCTCTTTACAACATACACGCCAACTGGGAAGCCTACATATAACACCAACAAAAAAAAAAAAAAAAAAAAAAAAAAAAAAAAAAAAAAAAAAAAAAAAAAAAAAAAAAAAAAAAAAAAAAAAAAAAAAAAAAAAAAAAAAAAAAAAAAAAAAAAAAAAAAAAAAAAAAAAAAAAAAAAAAAAAAAAAAAAAAAAAAAAAAAAAAAAAAAGAAAGAAAGTTCTTTAGTTAACATATTCTCTACATAGCCTAAAATCTGGGTCAATAAGCAGATGGTTCATATCCTCATACACCTAACAATTTAATGATGAAGATAAATGTACATAAAACAAGGGTTTTTTTAATTTAATGCCCTAAGAAAAATATAACCAATATTATCAGCATTCCAAGTAATACATTATAAATTCCACAAAGGTACAACAGGAAAGACTTCACAGAAGCAGTATCTGATAATTATCATAAAAGGAACAGAGAAACTTGTCAAAGAAATAATCTCCTCAGAAAGAACCAGATGCCAATGACTTTCTAAATTCTACCAAATATTTAAGAACAGGTAACTATAAAGTGACCTAAACTATGTCAAAGCATAGAGGCTTCAACATAGGAAACATAATGGTTATATTAAAAATTAAAAGAAATAGCACACACACAAATATGAATACTTCAGGTTAACAGTACTTATGAAATAAGATGCAAAACTTCTAAAGAAAACAATAAAAGACATAGTTGCTAGGAACATACCAAGGGAGGAATATATCATTATGACCAAGTAGAGCTTGGTCCTGCTATTTAAAACTGGTTTGATATAATAAAATCTATTTATTTAGTCTTCCATGCAAAAATAAAGTAAAAATATGACTATCTCCATAGTCACTGAAAAACATCAGATTTTTCAAACTATTAATAAAATAGGAATAAGTATACATTTACCATGGGCAAACATATGCATAATATAGAAGCCTAAAAGCCAGTATCATACTTAGTGAAGAAACCTAAAAATACCCTTAGTATAGGTCTGAAATAAGAATGTCCATTATCACATAGTACTACAAAACATGAGGATAAAAGAGGTATAAAAGTAGAAAAGGAGACAGTAAAATTATCACTAGTTGTGAATGAGTTTATCTGCATTAGTTGCAGATAATGAGTTTACTAAGTGGAAAATTTTTAAAAAACACCCATTAAAATAAGTCCTAGATGTAAAAATTATATTCCCACGTATAAAATTAAGAAACAAATCAACTGTCTCTATATTCAAACCATCACCACCAGTTATATCCACAGTTAGCGTGAAAAGATAGCCAATGGACATTCAAACTCATGATCCTAGTTTTTACTGCCATATAAGCAAATTCCATTAACCTGAAGCTTTTAGAAATGAACATTTAATTTATGCCACTACTCTAGGTAGTCAGAAGTTTTCCCTACCTAAAATAGCTACTGAAGTATTTTTCCCAGAAAAATACAAAATGATATACAGCAGTCCCCCATCCATCATCCCTGGGGGACACATTCCAAGACCCCTAGCAGATGCCTAAAACTGACTGCCATCAATTGGAACGTTTCTGTTTATGTCTTCCACCCACAAATGTAATGTCTTTTCCGTTTTAACTAAACACTTATTACACACCGTGCCCATAACTTTTGCAGTCTGAGGTGCAACAGCAAAACTAGCATAAATTTCTTTTTTTCTTCACAATTTCACAGACAGAAGATTCATTCTTAGCGGATCTTAGCAACTCTGACTTTTCTTTCCTTATTAACTCAAGAACTTTCACCTTTTCATTTAAAGGAAGCATTTCATAGCTTCTCTTTGGCATATGTGAACTGCCAGCATCACTACTTTTGTGCTTTGGGGCCATTAGTAAGTCAAAGAAGGGTTACTTGAACACAAGCACTGCCATACCAGGACAACAAATCTGATAAACAAGTCAGCTACTAAGCGTTATTACCTGGCAGGTAGCTTACACAGTGTGAATATGCTGAACAAAGGGATGATTCATGTCCTGCGGGGATGGAGTGGAATAACATGAGAGTTCATTACACTACTGAGGCCAGCAAGCAATTTAAAAAGTTAAGAATTGTTTATTTCCGGAATTTGCTACTTAATATTTTCGGACCACAGATGACCTCAGGTAACCGAAACCATGGAGAGCAAAACCTCGGATAAAGGGAGTCTACTGTATATAAATTGATTTGCCCTGCCCAGTCCTCATTTAAGGATGGATATTAACTAAAGCAGGTACCCATGTGAGGTTTTTAGTGGGCATAAAAAATATATAACCTCCACAGGAGATTAAAAGCTATATGAGACTTTGCTCTCAAGAACTTACCACTTGAGTTAGACATGTGTACACAGTACCAGAGAATCAATCTGTAATAATTATCAAGCCTATGAAATATCAGAAGATGGATCTGTAAAAGATACCTTAACATTCTGCCTAAGAAAAAGCCTAAAATAGATTAACGTTATCATAAACTAATAACAGTAAAGAAAGTTTAAACCAGCAGTGTAAAATGAAATACCTTAAGCTCATTCCAACTCTACTAAGTAAGAATGAATCTCTATTAATGGGGTCCCTGCTTTCAACAAGCTCCCCCTAGGTGAATCAGATACGTACCCGCTGGTTAAGAACCAGTATACCACACTCTAAAGGCTTGATGGCACTTTGCTGCATGACTAAATGGGCCAGATTCCATGCTATTTAAGCAACTTCCTAAACTTGTATTATGAAAATCTCAAGCCTAATAAAAGGAGTTTCTTTCTAGACCTGTAAGAAGCTCAGCAGCAGAAATCACATCAACATAAATGATAATCTGTGAGCCTGACACTACTTCAGTTCAAAACAAGTGACACACTTCTATGTTACTATTTGTTAAGTTGACTGTATACATAGATATATCCTCTCTTGTACTTAAAAAATAAGCTCCTTGAGAACTAATTTTATATTCCTAACCACTGTAACTCTTCCCTACAGAATCGAAAGTTGCAAATATAAAGTGCGTAATAAATATTTGTTAAATGAAAAAGAGTACTGTGGGGAACTGTTTTGTAACATAAAGCAGACAGGAATTCCTCTCCCACCATAACCATCACCTTCCAACACTACCACTTTCCAGTCTACACCCACAATATACCCATAAACTCTAAACAGAGAATCTGGAAACTAAGGATATTTATCCCTTTTTGCCAACTCCTCCCAACCAATGTGGCATGGATTCATCATCCACATAGAAAGGTGTTAACTTACAAAGTATCTGTATCTAAATGCCTTGTAAACAATCAGATTTGAGTGCCACTTAGGATACCAAACTTTTACAGACTTTAGGGAAACAAGTGTATCATATATGTTATTATTGTGCTTACTGAAAATATCACTAACACCAAGTCTGAAAGTCTTAGTAGTCACAAATACTAAATAGGTATAAAATATACAGATGAGTGTGTGTGTGTGTATGTGTGCGTGTATATATACAAGGCGTCTTCAAAAAGTTCACAGAAAGATTCCTATTACCTTTTAATTTATTTTTCCATGAACTTTTTGAAGTACCCTTTTATATATGTGGGTATATATACATATATATGATTTTCAACAATAATAAAGGAATTAAAACAGTATATCTATAACAAAAGGAACCAAATCTGTATGGCTAAAAAGTGGTCTTTAAAAAGAGACTTGTGTTGAGCAGATCTTAGATTTAAAATTTTTCTTTTACAAGCTAAGTTGGAAACAGATTTTTGTAAACTTATCTACTTACTACCTTATCAAGACAGTAGTTATGCAAATGCCTTGACAATCAAATTGTGATTTCCTTTTACATTTAGTTGATATTCTCATCTAAATGATATAACCAAGAGACATGTTAGAAAGCCCAGCAAAGGCATATGACAAACGTTCACCAAATAACTGAAAAAATTCTTCTTCTAGGGCCGGCCCGGTGGCGCACTCAGTAGAGTGCGGCAGCGCTCCCGCCGAGAGTTCGGATCCCATATAGAGACCAGTCTGCTCACTGGTTGAGTGTGGTGCGGGCGTGACACCGAGGGTTGTGATCCCGTTACCGGTCACGAAAAAAGACAAAAAGGAAAAAAAAAAAAAGAAAAAAGAAAAAATTCTTCTTCTAAACTTTTTAAAAGCCAGTTGAAACTAAATATATGTGTATGCATATGCTCATCTATACTATACTGCATATGTACAATGTTCTTATGCAAAACAGAATCATTTTCTGGGTAGGTATACAGGGGGTAAGAATGGAAGAGGTTAAAAATACCACCACATCTAGCTTTGTGTTCTCTTTAAGAGAGTCACCAAAAAAGAAACAGCTTCAACAACTGACTAAAAAAACACGACAAACTGGTTTTATTAACTGCAAATTTAGAGAAAAAAAAAAAAGTTCTGCGAACAGGGTACATAGTCAGAAAAAATTATTACTGTTTCCCTACCTTTTTAAACAGGAAGAAAAAAATCACAGCAACCATTAAATCCATTAACAAGTTTCATTAAAAAAAAAAAAGGAACCAGATCAAATATCAGTTGATATAAAGTTAGAATGACCTAATTTTTAAAAATTAATCTAAAAACTGAAATTACCACATAATTTCCTCGAAATCTTTAAGCATCCACGATTTCAAATGCTCTGGTCTACAGCAAATAATTATTAGGGTCTGATGGAAAACTTCAAGAACATGCCTGGCATGAGTATGGCTATCTTACATTGAACCTTCTTTTACTTAAATGTTTCCTGAAAAAGTGACTCAAAAGGGATACAAGCAAATGAAGTACTACTACATCAGTTACTTATGGTGTAAAAGCCACTATTACTGCTACAGTTCACAGGCGAGGTTTCAAGCCATGACCAGCAATGTAGAATTTGGTACTCAAAATAACTATTGATGAAGAAAAAAGATAAAACTTCATAAAAAAGATATAGTATTGAAGTCTTTCCATTCCATCAGGAGGTCACAGTAACAAAGGTATGGCAAGGACTTGGAGAAGTACATGATACCACAATACATTCAATCATGACAATTTGTAGT